TATATTAATATGGTTTAGCTCAAACACTACGTACTTTTCTACACTCTCGGACGTAAAGTCTTCCACCAGCACGCAGGCAGGCATCTGTTTCGTACATACGTTTAGTTCTGTCCACTGATTCATCCATTTCTTCAGCAAGCTATAACATATCACAATACGTCAAATGAAAGGAAATGGAAAGTGGGAATCGGAAAAGAAACTGAATATTTATCGTCATATCAAACATCGATATCATTTCTATAGGTCTGGCCTGAAATAGTTTGAGTGTTTATACTTGCATAATATAGTCAGGCCGATGATAAAGCTCTGCGTTGAAATGACGAGGAAAAGGCTGAGCTTAAGCAATCAGTCGACTCATCATAATGAATGAGTTAACTCGTTTGAGTCTATTCCCGTTTACGTGACGTGCCACCAGCCGAATCCCGTGTATTTAAGGGATGTGCTTTATAGATCGATAACTCCTGTGTTTTTCGGTTACAAGTTACAGAAAGCGGCGAGCTAACAGTTCATCCACTTGTTTTGTTTCGTTACAAATTTGGTGAAGTTATGAGCGACACTTTTTCAGCTGTAAAGGATTAAGTCACCCACGCACAGCGATAGACGATTTTATCATAAATAGGGAGCAAAAATAATTGCGAAACCCCAGACATTGCCACTTCAAAAAAGTGATAAAATAAAAACCATTCAGACAAATTAGATGCAGTTTTCTTTTTCTGTGAGAGCATTTCTTTCTTTCTTTTGTTCCATTATAAAAATTACGATAGCTTTTGCAGTCTTTTTGTAGTCAACGTTTCAATTTACCCCAAAACTGTCAGGCTGCAAGGGTTGTTGGGTGAATATTAGCTCCGGCTCAAGTGAGTTAATCTTTTTTTTTTATAGTAGAGGGTTTTACGGCGCTCGCAACTGCATAATTCATATCATGTTGTCAATACCTGCTTTGGCTCCACACAACTCCTTTCCTCACAAAAGCCATCAAAAAAAAAAAAAAAAAGAAAAAGTAAACATGTGTCTCTCGTTATTATTATTATTATACAAGCGTATCACACATAATGAAAACATATATATATAATAAAAGTATTTGATCTCACAGCAATATGCAGAAATAGCAGCGCTCAACATAAATGTTTACCAACGCATATTTCCTTCACAACAACGTTTCATAAATTGGCTCAGTATACTTATTGTTTGTTTGTTTAATATGGGGTTTTACAGCGCTCGCAACTGCAATATGCTTATTGTGGGACCACATTCACATCAACAATCCAGTCACATTTCCTTTTCACTTTCTAAGGTGCTTTTGTTGTTTCCAGTTTGTTTGGTCTACTTTTAATTTAGCTGCTTTATTCAAATCTTTTCGTTACAGTGGAGTTTTTTTCCTTCTTTTAAGGGAGGGAAGAGGATTGGGGAAGAGGAAGGGGTGGAGGAAGGGAAGGGGTGGAGGAAGGGAAGGGGGGAGAGGGAGGGGGGAGAGGGAG